TTGACTCCGGAAGAGCGCCAAGAATGCTACAGAGGGTCAGCTTTGCCTAAGGAGGAACTCTTGGGCGACACATTGGAGCTGGCACTCGGGCTTCTTACAATAGCGATGAGGTATCCAAATCATTTCCCAAATTGGGGTGGTCTTGAAGGGGCAAATGCGTGCGTGAGAGGAATCGAAAGATCATTCTTCCGCTATGCGTCGGCCGAGGCTATCGAGCTCATCACGGTTGACTCCCCACGCAAGAGGACACCACCCAAGAAGAATGAACAAGTCGCTGAGATCGTCAACAACTTGTCCGCTGACCTCGTGATTGATTTCACTGTGATCGTCGATGGTGATGTCTACCCCGTAGAAATTGCAAGGAACGACGAGACACAGGCCGTTGACAACGTCACGGGCGATCCAGGGGTTTCAGTTGCACCACCAATACCGACACAGGACGTTGACGTGGATGCGCAACCTGAAGAAGAACAGGGTGCTGAAGAGCCCGATCCCAGGCAGAGAGTTCGTGAGGTGCTCGTCACACAGCTTCAGGACTATGTGGGAATACTTGCTCAGGGCGAAATGTCGGTCGGGAGCAATAACTTCATGTTCTGCATTGCTTGTGGCAGTGAATCACATCATCTGTCCGATTGCACCGAAAATGCTGCAACCCGAGATCTGATACTTCGAAGCATTCAGGTCATCAGGGACAGCCTTCTTCGTTATCCACGTCGACCACCTACGCAACAAGCTGAGCCAATGGACGTTGATACCACAGACCATGTGAGTGTTGCTTCCTCGGACCGACGACCCAAGGCCAAAGCCCGACCGCGACGCGGAGGCGAAGCCGTTCGGGGTGATGTGGTCTTGATTCGTTACGAGAACAAGCACAACCTATGCACGGAAGTGGAGAACCGTCGAGGCTTACATGACGCTTGTGGTGTACCGCTGCGGGAAATGGGACCCGAGAACAGTCAGCGGGTGGTGGATCTCATTGAGCAGCTTTCGGACCATCGTGACCGACGACTGCCTCAACGAGGAGATCGTCCAAGCTTCGAGTATGATGAGAATACTCAACAATGGGCAAATTCAGGCTACGAATCCATCGGCGGCGGAAGGCCTATCCGATGCGGAATTCTTGATCTGATCCCAACCAAGGGTGCAAGCTTCATCAACAATCGATGGGACATCGTGAATGAAGTTGTCCTTCGCAACATCAACCGTCATCGAAGAATGAACGCAGAATGGGCGCTATCCTGCATTCAATCTGACTTACGCCACAGAATTGCCAGGCGCCCAGGTTCGGAATGGCTTGACAACCGGTGCCAAGTGGCATTCAGCAGCGTTATTCGATGTGATGAAGGAGGGTGGGTGCTGATAGAGGACTTGGTGAGGCATGAGCAGCTATGGACCCACGAAAGTAGACGCATTACCGAAGCGGTATCAAGGACAGACGAGTACCAAAGGAAGAGAGTGTACAATGAGAGACTGCAGTTACTGTTCCAGGGGAATATGCTTGCAGCCACGAAACGCCACAAGGCCAAGATCCGGCTACAATTCTTGGGTGTGAGAGTGAAGAACCCCGGCACAGAGACTCTTGGATCTGCGAACTCGAACATGTTGGTGTCGGTTCCAGATCAGATCACAGAGATCCAGAACAACGACCGTTGCCGACACAATCAGAGGTACCTGAACGTTTGCAACGGCTGGGTGAAGCCATGGGCTGTCAGGGCCACAAGTGGTCACTCTACGCACTCCGATCCCCAGAACAATTTGCTTCAGTTGGACAAGGACCGGTTCGCAATATCTCCATCTATGACCCTCTTGACACGTCTCGGGGGCGCGTTCCACGCTACGGCATGCCGCAACTTGGATTCTATCGTTCTGCAGGGCGTCATGCCTGGTTCGGAGGATCCTGACGGGGACTTCGACCAGCGACGTCGATTTCAGGACAACCGAGGTGGCAGACTCCACAGTTATTGGGGGGTATTCGCGCCGTTCGATGACCGGAACGCAACGACCAAAGCTCGGGTACACGGGCCGCAAGCCAAGCACATGCCCCTTGTGGTCCTCCATGTCGCTTCGACAGATCTTGCCCGAGAAGGTGGACGTATCACTGACAGCGGTGTCATCATCCTTGGTCGAACGATATCGTTCCAGTTCGTGAAGGAGGTATGGTTTTGCGTCCCGAATCCTCAGGATACACATTCGTTCGCTCTGGTGGAAAAGATCTATGATGAACGATTGGAGAAAGAGATGGTGTTGGACTACAATGGATCTCCATTGCTTCCTGAATTCGAGAGATATCGAACACCAAGCAAGATCATGGAATTGCTTTGCGAGATGCCTCCTGGACCCCATGACACAAGCAAGGAGCAGATAATGCGAGACCTTACCACTGTTTTGGAGGCCCACAGGGAGAACACGGTTCGACATCACTACATGGACAAGGGCATCAAGTTTGTCATCAAGAACTGGCGACCCGAAGATCTACGAAGAGATGAGGATGGCAGGAGAATGAGGGTATGCCCAGCGTGCTACAACATTGTTCCAGCATGCTTTTCTCGATGCACATCCTGCTGGTCACAATTCGTTTCTTGCGGATACTACCAAGGTACTCCACAACGGGATACTCCAACGGAGATCCCAAGTGACTTCATTGCTCAGACGATGGAAGCTGCGGCAGCAGCAGTACCTGAGGCAACCGTCGAGGAACAGGAAGCCATGGAAGCGGAATCGGTTGCGGAACCCGAAGCAATTCCAGAACCATCCGTTGCTGGTGATGACGATCCAGAACAGGAACCTGATGAAGAAATGGACACGGAACCGGGAGAGGACTTTGACGACCAAGTACCAGATGCGGTGGCACAGGAACGACGTCCCGTCCTCATTGCCGGTCAGTCTTTGAACATCGACCCTGAACTGCAAATCGCCCGCACTGCCATGCAGCCGCCCTACTACCACGGCAAACGGAACGCCCATTGCATCGACGCCAGCATGGCCGCTCTTTCGTACATGGCGTTCGTTGTATGCAGAACCATCTACAAAGCTTGGTCAGGATTCGCGAAATGGGCGACTATGCCGTTGTTTCAGATGAGAGAGAATTTCGCACATGGCCAACGCTATGATGTGCTCGGAAAGTGGGGAACTTTGGCTGGAGTGGACAAAGAAACAGGTGTGAGCAGGGACGTGACTGATGAGGAGATCCTTCGCTTTGCTAAGGAGCCTGAAAACCTCAAGTCGTATGATCCCAACGGGACTTACACTTTGAAGCGCTTCCGGACGAACCAGATGCTTTCGCTATTGACACGGGGAGCCAACATGATGGGAATCGGCAGAGATAACTTCAATCCAACCACGTACTTGAAGAGTAACAAGGATGAAGACGTGAAGGCAATGCACTTTTGTTGCCTCAACGTCTTATGTGAGGTTATCCCGATGGTGACAGGACATCAACAATTTTCGGTACTACGAAACACGCCAACTGGACCAGTGGACTTTCTGTACATCGACCCGGTCGGCATCCTCTTGACTCATGCAGATTATTCCGTCCAGACCGTTGGATTGCTGGTGGACCACAACGTGCAAATGCCAGCGCACTTCATGGACAGATTGGTCAAGTCTAGAGTTGAAAGACAGCAAAATCCGAATACTCGACGTCCTGAAGCATTACATCACATTTCGGCTGAAGAGTATCTCCCTCCGGGTGGTACTTCCATCATGGACACGCCAGTCACTACGGAGGAACGTGCAAGCGCTTCCTCGGCAAAGGGACCTTCAAAAGGACGTGAGAGAACCGGAGATGAGCAACATGGTGGCTGGAACACCAATTCCTACCACGACTACATCGCCGGCAAAGGCCGAAACAAAGGCAAGGACAAAGGAAAGCAGAGGAACCAGTATCCAGAGGAGAACCTCCGGCCCTGGGAACGCGATCCTACGTCAACGCGAAGATGGTGGCGAGACAACGCATGATCTACATCATCTTCCAGCTTGTGACCTCTGTGCTTCGCACGTGGTATTCCATCGCGAATGCTTCTTTCTTCGGTGACGCCTGATTCGTTTGCCATTTCAGGGGATCGTTACCGACGTAGATGAGTGTCACAACGTTTCTAATTGGGATGCAAAAGCTCTGATCTATACGTCAAAGTTGCGGCGGAACAAATTTTCTGATATTCCTATCGTGCCATCTTCCGGGTGAGCAGCGTCGGAGACGCAACTCATGGGGGGTGCGAACGGACTGCGATGCCTTGTCAAGTTCTAAGGTGTCACTATAAGAGCTGTGAGCAAGACCGTGTAAAGTGCAAGGGAAGGGGGCACGCCACGCGTCCCTCGTCTCTAGGAGTAGGCTTGTGGTAGTGCTACGCACACCGCAATGCCTATCCATCCTTTCAGTATGACCGCCCATGCAACGTTTGGCTCAAGAATGAGCACAAGCTCTAGAAAGCATTGCCCATAGCTAAAGTGCTATAATCTTCTGTGATTCTCCGAGTAGACAGAGCTATCCCGTGCACAGACGATCCACCGCCGGCCGTGAGTGTGCAAAACGAGCGAACGTTGGATCTGCCTGCATAGAAGTGCGTGTGTGGAAGTGGAAGTAACGGTGATCCAGCTTGTGGAAGGCAACCACGCCAACAGTCAATACAGCTCTTTGTGGGGTGAGCGATACAGAACATTACCAGAATCAAATCCCCACGCACAAGAGGATTCTAAGACATCAAGCTATTCTGAGAATGTGCCTCAAGCTAGCTGGTCAGGGAAGGTCTGGTCCCTTCAGGGTCTTCGGCGATCTTTTTGTGAGATCCTCTGATGAGAAGCCGCTCGTGACACACTACCCCTGTATCTCGCTCGGCCGCAGCTCCGGAGCGACCGGGATGGCACTTTTCAAGTGCATGGCATCACATGACATCAGCTGTCCGACTGGTCATGGATTCATGGAAGAGAGGACGCGGGACACCTCAGAGGCCAAGAGCACAAGACTCAAAGAAAGCAAGCATAAGCAGACCCGCCAAAGCGCAATGACCCAGGCCCAGGCCAGGGGCCGAGTTGGCATGTGCGACCGTAGAATCATTTGGGTTTTCGGGGGTGAGCAGCGTTGGCCGATCTCCTGGGAGTTCATGTCGTTCCAGACATTGATTGGGCGAGGCTGGATCAGTTGGGCGCTCGATGGAGCGGAGGAGATCCAGGACGCGGTGGTCGAAGCTTCGACTCTGCTTTCTCGGTGCGCCAAAGGCTCAGATGTGGCGGGGGCTTGCAGCCGATGGAACCATTGTGTCCTTGAGTTTAAATGAGTTCTGCCCACCACCCAGGTTGGTGTGCGTCGTCGGTGCAACGGCCAGGAGCACAGACGTGGTGCTTAACACGAAACCCTCAAAACCTCAGCGCACCAAAGCATCTACATTGTGCGGAGTTTCAAAGCTCTTGAAACGCCAAGAAGACCTGAAAAACTCATTCAAGGCGGCAGCCTTCTGCGGAAGCCGGCCGGAAGTCAGGCTGGTGCCCGAGCTGATCCCACCACGTCAACCGAAATTTTAGATGTATGAACCCGAGTAATCCATAGTAATCCAGCAAATAGGACAGAGATGACATTGCACGACACGGGAGTCGATTATCGTTTACGAATAGGAAGTTCAATAACAGCAACAGTAGGAATAGGAAGACAGTATAATTTTTCATATCATTTAACAGGAATTACCTTAAACAGAACAGTAGTGAATAATTTAGCGTTTAATAGCATTGGTTATAGCGTTGGTGAAGCAGATGTCATTAGTTGGGATAAGTTTAAGTTACAGAACAGCGGTGAAATTAGGGAAGTAGTAGATACTCAGTATAAGATGTATGTAAGAAACGGCGATAGTTTAGGTGAGTTGTATTTAACAATAGGTTTAGAAAGTAACACACCAGAAATTCAACTAACCGACGGAAAAGTTAATGTATTGGGTAATCTTGAAATTACACATATAGACGACGCAGGAGCGCAAAAAGTACGGATGGACAAGATTAAGTAATAGCGGATTATCAAGGTTCGATGCTACGACAACAGGCGTTGATATATATATATATATATATATACGGCATATTAACAACAACAGGCAACGCTGATATTAACGGAAATGTAACATGTGTGGCTTTAACCGAAACATCAGACGCTAAACTGAAAGAGAATGTCAAGGAGGTGAAGACAAAAGAGTGTTATAAGGCGGTTAAATGTCTTCAACCGAAAACATATTTGATTTAATTATGATGGTCACAAGACAAGTAATATTGGATTTATAGCAGACGACATAAAAGACGCTGAAATGCCCAAAGAATGGGGCAACATAATATTTTTTAATGATGAAGGTATAAAATTAGTAGCGTAAAATGAGATGACTGTTGTTCTTTGGGATTGTGCTCAAGAGTTACAAAAAGAAATAGCTTCTTTTAAAGGTGAAATAGCGAAATTGAAGGGCAAAGGTAAAGGCGATGGTAAATATTTACATTGCGGCCGATAAAACACGAAGACTGGGATGCCCATTTCCATTATGCGTTACATCCGAACTCGGAACTAAATATATTGATGAAAGGTTACTTAACGAAATAAGGCAGTTTAAGGAAAGAAGGCAAACTAAACGACAAATTACAATCAGAAGTTAAGGCGGAATACGCAAAGCAGAAAAGGGAATCATGCGAATGATTAAACGAACAATTCCCTAATGAATTTGTTGATGAAGAAAAAGCACCGGAACCGCAGCCTGAACCCGACAAATCCAAACCCGATATTGATAAAGTATTTAATCATGTCCAGCAGTTGTTAATGAATGGTGAGTTTTTAGAAGACTGTTTTAGGTTATTTGGCAAGCAGAGGGACAGAATAATTGTCGAAGTTCCAGCTGATGTTGCCGAACCGAAAGCAGCCACATCAGACACCAAAACGGCTTCGTATGCTTCATTATAGGATAATGCATTCATACTGATAGGTCTTAAGAAAAGACTTTCTGAAGAGAAAACACTCAAAGAAACAACAGCTACATGTATCAAGCAGAAAACGGATTATGCCAATTGAAATACATATAAAATTCAACTGAAGTATACCAAGACGTAATATGACATAAAAATGAAGGAAATAGACTCCCTAAATAAAATTGAGGAGTTAAGAAAAATGGCTAAGGTTTATGAAAGCGTTTTTGATAATGAAGATGTCTTGAATAGTAGATACGATAGCGATATTATCTGTTTTAGAAGGTAAAACCCAAGAAGATAACAAGTTAATAAAGCAATATTCAGACTTAATTGAACATATTGAAATACTTTGTAACAGTGGAGGAAACAAAGACACTAAATATTTAGATCAAAACCACAGACCGCTGCTAAGTGGATAAATAAAAGTATTCAGGACATTGAGAAAGATTATGGCGACCTAATCAATCCTGAATTAAAAATTAGTTCTTTTTGAAATAATGATAGTCTTGTTTCTTATTCCTACTTTATTCTTAAACCTTATTCCTATTATGGATGTTTTTTTTTTTTCAGAATACCTTTTCCATTTTCCAGGGTTAGGGATTTCGGGTTTCGTGTTACGGTTTTTTCTATGTGGGCATTGGTTTAGGGGGTTGAGTTTTTTTTTTTTAATGGGGCGATGGCTAGTTCCATAGTATGGGTTTCGTCATGTGATGTGGGTATTGGATTGAGGCCTTCCTATGGGTCTTTCGGTGGGTTGAGGGTTGAGGCATAGGTTGTTATGCTTTGGGTCTTCAGGTGGCCTAGGGGGGGTGGCATGGTTAGCAAATGGAACTGGTGTATGCAAACTAAATCTCCATGGCCGGACCCAAGCCCGAGACTTCAAGAAGCCCTGAGAAACCGACCTGGTGATAAGGCAGCCAGCGAGGCTCCGCTCGCTGGGCCGGAGCCTCGGTCCCGCAAGTCCCGTTTCTGTTGTCACATGTAAGCCGCGTCATATTGCCTTCTTGCCCAGCTCGTCATCCATCGGCGATACCGTATTCTTTTGCGCGCTTTAGCCTTCTGTCGAAGCGCTAGCGCGATGCCCCAAAGCCCCAGCCCATTGGCGGGCGACGGAATCCTTGTAAGTCAGATGCCGGCTCGCTTCAGGCACGGCCCTTCGCCGCCCCGCCACTGCCACACGGCCGGCCGAGGGCTCCATTCTGGACCGGCCGCCCCAGGCCCACGAAACCGGGACAATGTTGCGCAAACAAGTACACCGAAATAAAAAGGGCCACGGCCGATGATGCAGTTGCATCGCGGTGTATATTTCAGATAAGGTCAGTGACCTAAAGGGCATAGACTGACATAGACACACTTTAAACGGTGGTTTTTGTTGGCTTAAGATCATGCTACCGCCACGACGACGACGACTACTTCTACTCCTTTTGTGGCTTCTTTCCCACTCTCACGTCTAGTTGTAGGCGAAGACAGGTCCGAAACAGCACCGCTCCAGCTACATCCAAGCACACCGAACCACCATTACCATCATCAGCACTACCACCAAATCCAACTGCAAGAATCATGTGTTTCTTTTTCATTTCCTCTCAGTTCTGGAGGTTTGGAAGTTGCACACCACAAGCGATAAAATCTGGAGTTCCCACGAAGCAGTGGGTGGGAACGGTAGGTTGGTGTTTTGGATGCTGGCAGGTTCTTGCAGAGGATGCGTTGAAGCTGCTTCAAGAGGCTCGTCACACGTGATGCTGCTGCTCCATGCGACTCTTCATGGAGGTTGCTCTGAAGTAGGCGGCTTGCTGGCAGCATCTTGCACCGGAAGCGCGTCTGTGTGGCAGTTCGGCGAAGTTGCGGCCTCCACTGGCATGGAGATGGGCCTGCGTCGAGGGCTTCAGGCCGTGTTGCAGCCTTGCTTCCCAAGCCCGAACCAAGGGACACCGTCAGGACCCTAGTTCAAACCCAGGCAGATGGCAAAGCCCACCAGTAACTAGTCTTCATGCTGAGAGGGGGGACAACAGCACGAGAAACGGAGGCCGAGAACGGAGAGCACAGATAGATGTCAGTCGATGCGGACGGTCTTCTCAACAGAATTGCAACCGTTATGGTTGGTGTATTGCTCTACTTAGCACTTTGCAAAGTCGCCGTCAGACAAGACAGCAGCCATCGCAACATCAAGGAACAAGTTGGGCCAGAGTTGAAGGCACTAACGCGGTCGTGAATTTCCAAGGCCCTCAAGCTGCCTTTGAGTGCCTGAAGCCTCAACTCCCAAGCTTGCGATCTTAAAGTTCTCCGACAACTTCGGCCCGGCTCGGAGCTCGCCCATCAGAGGCCGCGCAGGCCGCTGCCGCCACGGCTGCCGAGGCCACCTGGGATCCCTTTCTCGAGCGATTTCAGTTCAAGGTGCAAGGGGGAAGTCGGGATGTTGAGAGTTAGAGCGTTGCGTCAGCCGAGCTGAAGCATCTTTTCGTTCTCCTTTCAAGCTGAGAATCTGACGTGTGAGGTCGCACGGAAACCGCCGGCAGAATTGGACGAAGCCTTTGCTCCGCCCTTACGGGCTTCTCCGGGCTTTCCAGCCTGGGGATTTGATTTCCCGAGCCATGAGCCAAACCGGAAGACGTGAGAATAAAGACCCGCAAGTAGCTCAGGTGGCGAAAGTCCTGCGCAAGCTCTTTGAGCGGCTGGGGTCGACGTACGTCAAGCTCGCCCGGCTGGCTTTCCAGTGCTGCGGAGGTTAAGAGGTAGATCAATACATAAGCAATGCACGGCTGTAGCCTGGCACAGTCGTGTTCTCGCAGTCCATCGATGGCGTTGTGAACGCCGCAGACTGCCCTCAAATAGATCTCTGTTGCAGTATGCGGCGAAGGATGAAAAGGAGTAGTCATAAACATGCGCAGGTCTGTCCATCGGACGGTCGGTCTGTCGGTCTGTCTCCTGCCTGCCTGCCTGGCTGGCTGTCTGTCTGTCTGTCTGTCCCCACACACACACATTAATGCGAATTTTCGCATATACAAGTAGCAGGCTTGGCCAGTTTATCGCTTCCTCGCCGACTGTCTTCCCGGCGCCGTATGTGAAGGAGTTCCAACGCTGCAAGGGCAGCCCAGTGGGGGTTTGGGCGATGCTGGGTTGTATACGTGTATGTATGTATATGCACAAGTACTGTAATTGCATATGTACACATATATATATATATATATACTGTATATACATATATATATATATATATATATGTGCATTCATTTTCCTTCTTCCTATGCAGACGAACAGACCGACAGACTGTATCAGTATACGTGCGTGTATATGCACATATATATGTATATCATTTACACTTTAAAAATCTGCACACCCCACCTATCACAAGCATACATTGCAGTAGGGCCTTCGTTTCAGGGCGCCTTGACCTCGTGTGCAAAAGCTGTGTACCGAGACGATATTTGAAAGGACTGGGTGGTTCGAGAGAGCGGATGCCTCCAAATCAACGCGATCTGGTAGATGAGATGGATGTCTAATTCCTAGGTCGTAGGATCTTTTCTTGGTACGGTGTGTCAAAAGGCGGTCACTTCTACCTTTCCGTATAAGTCTAACCGCCCTTTACTTTACGCGTAATGTCCGCTGAGCCTGAGGCCTGGACTCCACGAGCACCGTGTCCTTTGTAGAGGCAGAAGCCAGCAGACAACTTGTCGAGGGTTCGATCGAGGTTGCTATTGGGCGATAGGTCTCGAGCGCGATTGCTATTAAGAGGAAGCCATCGGCACGTGTTTGACTCGTCAGTTCAGGCACCCAGCCCTTGTTGCGATCCTCAGCGACCTCCTTCGTAAGTTGGCCGTCCCAGTCGTTGGCAAGCCCGCGTCGCGGGACCCACAGGTCAAACGCATCATCGAGCGCGAGTGCTCGTCTCAGACCGTGCAGTCATCGAGGTTATAGCAGTATGCTTCGGGTAAGGAAGCCGGCTCGGCAGCCTTTCATGCATATCTCGGAGGAGTGTTTACGAACCCTTCATCGTGCAGCAATCGCCGAAGGCAAACAGTCACAGCAGAATTGCCGAGAAGAAGTTTACAGCATTTTCGCTCGATCTCCAAGCCCTTAGCCTAAGCCGTAAACCGTTAGTCCGTAACGCCACGAACTAAACCCTGAAGCTTTCCATCCATCCAGAGGCTGGGACGGCCGCTGCGTGACGTCTACGCCTACGTAGATCCGACACCCCTCGTGACACTGCCTACCTTGAAGTGAGGAATGGACGGTGATACAGCACACAGAAGCAAAGAGAACGGAGTATAATTTTGACTAGAAGTCTCTCTATCTCTCTCTCTCTCTCTCTCTCTCTCTCTCTCTCTCTCTCTCTCTCTCTCTCTCTCCAGCACCTCTCTCTCTATTGCATGTCTGTCGGTCTGTCTGTCTGTCTGTCTGTATGTATGCCAATGTACGCACGTATGTATGTATGTACGTATGCCTGTATGTTGTAAGTATGTGTGTATGTATGTATGCACATATGTACGGGAACATTTCCACCGCAGCTGCTGCTGCTAGTGCTACTATCACTGCTGTAGTTTATTACTGCTACCGTTGCTGCAGCTACTACTGCTGCTACTGCTACGGCTGCTCCTACTGCTACTGCTACTACTACTACTACTACTACTACGACGACGACCACTACGACTTGTGTTGCTACTTTTTGCTACGACTGCGACTGCGGCTACAACGACAGTAGCGACGACCAATCTGCGGTTGGTATTGGCTCATAATCATAACTGCTACTGCTTCGGTGACTCTTGGCCATGATGTTGAGAGCGAGACTATCCTTCGGCATCTAATGTACAAGGATATACCTTACCGTGCCACGCAAACCCTACTTTGCTGTCTTGCTGAGATTTGTGTAAACGCACTCTGTTCCCTGTTGACTTTCGGCGTTCCGCGTCGAATGCCAGGCATCGGCTTCCATCGCCCAGGTCCACACGGGCCGTCTGCGCGACGGTAGCGAAGTGGTGGTCAAGGCTTGCATATCACATCAATGCACTACAATCTCCCCCAAAAGCAGTGATTTGCTGTGGAATTGGGGTTTGCTTATGCTTTTCGGGTTAGTTGATCTCTGGATATGATGAAGGTGCAGAAGCCTGGCATCGAGGAGGTCCTGAAGACGGACCTTGGCACGGGGCACAGACCTGTGCCGTAGGATCAGGGAACAGTCAGCCTTTCAGATTCAGAAAGCAGTGTTGTACTCGTCTTGTTGTTACAGCTTAGCTCTCTGTTCTCTGACGAGTTTCCGTGATTCAGGACTTCTTGTTGGTGCTTTCTGGGTTCTGGCTTTCGGGCATGCCAATCTTAAACTTAACAGGGTGGCGCCTTCCTTTCCCGATGAGGGATGCGTCATGTCGGTGAGTTGTAGTTTACACTCACCTGGCATCGCAATTTCGTTAATAGTAATGGCTTCTGCCATCTGCCTGCATAGCTGATGGCGTGACAACCTGCTGTCTACTTTGCTCGGCCCAGGCGTCGTATACCTAGCTGCGAGGATTTTGGAGCCGCGGCCTCAACTGCCGGCGAACAAACCATCATGTGTTATACTTGCCCTTGCAAGGATGCGTACTCGTTTCCTCTGATCATGACTGTGACTTATCCTGTGTCAGGGTCATTGTCACCACTATTTCGATGACTGGTGCCTTGCAGTTTTCGCTGCCACAATGATTGTTTTGTTTTGCAAGTGTGCGTTAAACCTTGCATGTAAACTCTGGGCCCGAAGCAAATCCCCCACCCGCCACAGCGTCGGTTCAATCCGGCGGGGTTAAGAAGTTGCTGCCATCATCATGGTGTCGTACTAGATATGTCCAGAACGCTATCAATACCACAGAAAGAGGCAGAATGAACATGATGTTGGCAAGTCAGACAAGCAGCTGTGACTTGTGACACGCGGGCGATTGGCAGTCACACCGTGGTGGACTGTGGGTACCTCTTCGTGGGACACAAGGCAACGAGACGAACCAGCACAGGCACCGCAGTGGGCGTTAAAGGAGTAGGTTGCGCCTTTGCGACTATGAGCTATCCTGAGGTTCATCAATCCGGACCTGAACATCCGCGGGTCGCTGGCAGCAGCATGGCTGCAAGACAGGTCATATGATTTTGTCAGACTGTGCCCTGCGCGTGGAGTGGACCTGCTCGATACACGATAGTGCCATAAGACATTCCAGGATTCTCAATGCCTCTGCCTCTGCTGAACTTCTCTGGAGTCCTACATGGTCCATCGGGTCAGGACATCGCCTCCGACCTGCGGCAGTCCATGCTCGGAGAGCTTGATTTCCGAGAGGAGCGCCTGCTGTGCAGCTTGTGCGGCATGTCGTCATCTGACCTTTTTGCAGGAGCAGAAGAATCTGGACGTTTACAGAGATTTCCTCGATGAGAACGGCTTGACGGCCATCGCTGCAGGAAGCTCGGGTTGGCCTTGTAGCATGAGGAGGGAGGCTTTCCAAGGGCTTGCGAGAGAAGCAGTGACTTCGCGATACGGAGTGATGGAGCATCGCGAGTCTGCAATTTTAGAGCCACGTTGTCGTCATGACCCGCGGAACAGCATCATCGCATCTGCAGCACATGGCCGTCGCGGTGCAGAGCCTGACTCGTGGCTACCATTCCAGAGCTGTTGCGCCCGACTGGGCGTTTGCAAGTTTCAACACCACCGCCACAAGGTTTGACCTCAGGGTAGGGTTGAGTGGAGCTCACGTAGACATGGAAAGAGTGCCTCCGCACCCCGAAAGCCCAGCCTCAGCTGTGCAAGTCCGGTTTTTCTGCTAGATCAACGGCTTAAGTTTAGCGAATCTGCCAACCTCTGGCGGAAACCGTCTATCCAATCTGTCGCGTTCCCCGTCCGTACACCGTATGGAGTTCCTGCAGCCCACCTTGGCATCGGGAACTGAGGTCGCGCCGAAGCCCTACCCAGAAGCTTCGCCAGTGCCCCGGGCAACGTGCAACGAGAGATTTGGAATATGTTTGCGGTGTAGTTTGTTATTGTCTCGAATTGCTTTTGGATATTTCCTAATCCCAAGTTATGGGGGCCATGGAGCACAAACTAGGAGCTTTGATTCTTCAGCCTTCAAGCCTGACTCCTCCATCTTTTGGCATAAAGTCCCCCGCACCTCCCACCCTCCCTCTCTCCAAACCCTGTGCCTCCCAGGTCCAAGCGCGTGCTGACAATGGAGCGCCTTTCCGGCGTGCCTTTGGTGGACCTGGAGGGGATCAAGCTGCTTGCCTGCAATCTTTTGAGGCAATGTAGGGATTCGGAGGTTTGGTGCTGGAAGTCGAGGGCCCGCCTTGCCGCCTTTCTTAGCCTTCTTCGAAGGCGAGAACTGTGCCGGGCCGGGTTCGCTGACGAAAATCAAAGAACATAACCATCATCATTCTAATCGCCACCACTGCGAGCACAACCACCCTAAACATGATGATGATGATGATGATGATGATCATCATCATCAACAGCAACACCAAGATCACGACGACGCTGCCGACGGCGACGACGACGACCAGCACGACGTGGAGGAGGAGGAGGAGTCGGAGGAGGAGGACGAGGAGGAAGAGGAGGAGGAGGACGACGACCACCACGTCGACGAGGGTACCGAGGGCGATGAAGACGACCAGCACCACAATCACAGCAACAGATGGTATTGTATCTGAGCGTATCTACTTCGAAACAACTGCAGAAGTGCTTTTGGTGCCAAGGAAGTACACCGCCGATCCAGAGGCAACTCTGGTGAATGCCCTGAATGTGGAAGCCTCAATCTTTGCGATTTCGCTGCGGTTCCATGTGCATTCTCAGGCCCACGACTGGCTTTTCTCTTCAACCTGCTCTGCAAGCTGATATCGAAGCTGTCCACTAAATTGTGTCCCATTACCTCCTGAACATCTGGCTGCTCAGAGAGTCTTTTCTGCTCTGACAGAAACCGTGGCCACGATTTTTGAACCCCGCCCGAAAGCCCAAACCCGGAACCCAGACCCGTCACAACTGCTCAAGTGCCAAGGTTTGGGCCCTTTCCGTTCAGAAGTGCGAGTTCTTCCACGCAGATGTCCATGCCGGAAACCTGCTGGTGCTCGAGGACGCTTTCTGCAAAGCAGCCAGAAACGCCTGTGGAGACGCCCGATTTGTTATCACTCGCCCCACCCCCTCCCCTTCCGAAAACTTGTTGCTTTTGTTGCGGCCCTTGCATGTTTCAAGTCATGTAAGGAGAGTGCATAGGCCGCGAGACTCGTGCCCTTCAAAGTCCTTCCATGGTCCCATGGTTGTCTCATGAGGATGGTCGCGTCGGTTTCATTGACTTCGGCATCGTCGGCGCTGAGCTTGGGCATCCCCGAAGTGCGGGCTAGTGCATGGCGTGTAGTGTTGTCTTCAGTTTACTGTGGTAGGGTGATTGTTTGCATTGACTTTTGCGTTGCAGTTAGTGCGGCTTGATGATCTGCAAGTGTGACTACAAAGGCAAAGTTGCTGTGATACAAGGTGCTGTCGAGGTGGGAAGGAGAAGCAAGTTGATTTCGCACTTGCGATCCTGTTTACTCATGGCGCAACCACTCCGACTTTGTGACAGACTTGTTGTTGAGAAAACGAAACAACGAGCAGGCAAGCATACAGCGGCCAAGCATCCAACTGCGGGCAGCGACACGCTACAGGGAACGGTTTCTTTTGCATGTCAGTAGTCACGTGCGCAACAGGCTTTTGAGGGCATCTTCTTTGCATGGAAGAAAACTTGAATGATCTTGAATGGCATCTTGTGCTGCCCATTAGCCGACTGCAGCACGTCCAGCACGGAATGTCGACAAAGCTAAGTCACGCAGCGCTGTCAGCTCTGAGATGCGAGATTTTGCGAAGTCAGTCGTTGTCACAGTAGTGGGACTATGGGACGGTGTGGAATGGGTCAGGGTGAAATAGGCCGGAATTCGTGCATTTGAGGGTAACCTTAGTCAGGAGTTGAGTAGGGACTTGGCCGAGTGCAGCTCTTCTTTGGTCGTGCACCATGCCAGCGAAGCTTTTTGCCTTGACACTGGGCCTTTGCTTCATCAGGAAGTGCTTCGAAGCCCGAAGCTTCGGAAGCGCTCTTAGACCCGAGCGATGACAGAGACTTTGCGCTATCACTTGCGTTCTCGGCCCTAAGGCCGCCTCTCGCCACAGATGGCCACGGGCATCGACAAGCTGAACACCGCGCTGGCAGCCGGGGTCCTGGCGATGGCGATTCGACTTGCAAGTTCAGCATTAGAGAATCAAGACTGCTTTACCGGTCGGATGCGCAGTTCGCAGCCATCGTTACAGCTCAGTCAGGGTGATTCCTTTTAACGCTTATTTGTCCGCCTGGAAGACTTCATGTCGGATTCGATAACCTCTTCTTTCGGACAGGGTGTGCTAGGCGTGCTCCGCGAAAGCTCAGTACGCATACTTTATCAACTGGCCACACACAAGAGGTGGAATTGCACCATTATCCAGTGCTCTCTGCTCGCCCAGGTCAGTGATGCGCGGGGTATGGTGGGGTGCTCTGCATTTGTCATCGTAGCCCAAATCCAGACGGGTCAGGAGCCGGAAAGGAGGCAATGTAGCATTTCGGTGAGTATCGGGTAAATTCAAGTCACTTGCCCGAGGAAGCCAAAGTCCACTCCGGAAAGTACTTAATAGCAGCTATCAACACGTCACAAAACTCCGCACCACATGGGCTTGCATGAAGTTGTGTTTAGTTTACAGTTGCAGTTGTTGGTGAGTGTCTGCATGTCTCCAAATGAATGCTGGGCAGCATTTACATCCGGTTTTGATCTGGGATGCTAGCGACAAAACTTCTGCGTCACATCGATCCGCTTCTGGTTCGTACCCGAGGAGCGATGAATACTACGGCATTAAGGCTTCAGGCGAGCATCGCAGAGTTCTCACGTTTCACCAGTTTGTCCACTTTGGAGTTGATGGGTTCGGTTCTGAAGTTGAATAGCAGACAGTGGTGACGTTGGTGATGATGCTGGCATTGTGTCGTTCTCTTACTGCTGTTGTGGCTGCTGCTGCTGCTGCTGCTGCTGGTGGTGGTGGTGGTGGTGGTGGTGGTGGTGGTGGTGGTGGTGTTGTGGTCGTGGTTGTGGTTGGGGTTGCGGCTGCTGTTGCGGTTGATGTCTTCTGTTGCTGTTGTTGGTGTTGCAGTTGCTTTTGCTGGTGTGGTTGTAGATGTGGATGTGGTTGTGGATGTGGATGTGGTTCCTGTTGCCGTGGCTGTTGCTGTTGTTGCTGCTGCTGTTGCCGTTGCCGTCGTTCTTGCCGGCGTGTTGCCTTTGATGGTGAAGATGATGAAGATGATTGCCACGGGTACCGTGATGATGAGCGGAAGGAGGAAGAAGATAAGGAACAAGATGACGATGCTGAGGGAACCGTGACTCGACAAGCGATGCTGGATGTGAAAGTCACTTTGCAAAAATCACATTCAGATGCCCGTTTCCATCAGAGGTACAGTAATGAAGGAAGCCCGGCTGCCCAGGCCAATGCGCTCATCTCTATGGGTGCAACAGTTGGCGAGGCGAGCTCTTGCGCTTGATGTATTTCGAGCGAGCGAGGTAAGCCATTTCTGTGTAGACACCAAGGCGACACCCGGAAATGTTCTTTCCGGGTAGGCAGGTTCTACATGCGAATGACGGCTGCACGTCGTCGTTAACACGACTGTCAGGGGGATGCATCCCACGAGAATGGTATACCTGTTGAGCCTGGGCGTGTAACCGTGTTGTATTTGGGTCACTACATTTGCAGAGAACACGGCTTCTGCAGAAGCTAGACCAGGCCGACTTCAGTACTCAACTACGCCGCTGCGACTTGCATTGCAATCACTGTGTTTACGTGCCGCATGCACCCCTTCCGAACCCTATTCCTCCTACCCCTTAGCATCGAAGCAGGTTGACGAAGAGGCTTTTGCGGCAGACATCCAGAAGCTCATTTCTTCGCTGGGCGTTGGCCTCGTTTGTTCCGCAGTGGATGAGTGCCTACGTGGTAAATGTCCCGCCCCAACAACTTTAAGAGTAGGAATCGGACGAACAACATGGGCCGTATCTCTCAACAAAACCTTGTTGGAGAGACACACCGCCTCGGGCACGTGTCAGGACTTCTAGAATTCTAGAAGGGTTCACCTCGGTCAAAAGTATGTATCTTCCACTCGGAAAGATAGCTATGGGCTTTTCCACTTTGATTTCTTGGGACGATCGGGCTCCACAGTCTTGGCCCGGTTACGAAAGCAAGCAGGTAAGAACATTTCGGAAATGGGCCAGCTGAGCCCATGGAACAGTACAGGTATGTTATGAAACGGAAGAAAGTGTTTTCTGTCTCTCAGGGCCTTCAGTGCTCTTAACGACAGTGTGTTGACAAGATTGCTCAGTATGAAACCAAGTACCAACATCGACACCATGCCCGCTACTCGAGCTCAGTGCTTATAGCAGCAACAATGATGCTTATTTGGCTTCAGTTCCAAGGTTGTAGCGGTGACGAAAGGTTTGCATTGGCCCCTTCAGCACCTCAGCACCTACCAACACCATCCTCAAGCTTTACTCTGAGGGCTTAGGGAACTTGAGCGTCCACGGGTAGTAAAACGTATCTTTAAGAAGTATCTTGAAAGTAATTGCACCTGCAGTTCCCCTGTATCCCGGCCTAGAAGTACGACATCTTCGTCTCAATCATAGGACACATCATTTCTTTCATCGAGTGCGTAGACATGGAGCCTTAGGAAACACTTTGGACAACAGTACCGACATGGCGGTGGATGAGTCCAAGATCCAGGATGCCTTCAAGTCCTTGGATGGCTGGTGTGAGGGTTAGCGTTAGCTTCACAACATGGTCCCATGGTTCTGAGTTTGGGGCTTCAGGGTTTTAAATCGTTCCTTCTCCAATTACTCAGGGATCAATAGCTGGCGCGCAAACGTTCCAAAGGGTTGATGCTTTAAACCGTTGGCTAAAGTGTTTTGTCCCAGTACTAGCAAGGATGAGCCCACGCTCTGTAAGTGGATGTGTCTGCTTGTCTGTCGATGCACAAGGAGGAGCGTTTGAGCACACAGACACAGGTGCACATGTGTTAATCAGCCTCACGTTTTTCAAACGGCTCGTGAAGTTTCGACATCCATGCACACTCAGACAGGCAGAGCGAGAGGTGGACAGACAGACGGACGGACGGATGTACATAAAGTTTATAGCATATGGAGCTACCCATTTTTGGTACAGAAACGTCCCTCCGAAGGACATTGTCCTGGACATCGCCCAGGCCTGCACTGAGAATCGTCGATTCCGTTCGCTTCAAGAACGATTCCGTTCGCTTGATGCCAAGCAGAGGCAGCCGTAGAACAGTGCAGTGGGTAGTGCGAGCAGGTGGCTGGGAACAATGGCCTGAAGCTCCCTCGGGAGTTCGGCCTACTCATCAAGCAGGTGGGACCTTCGCCGTCTGTGTGGTACTAGTACCCCGCACCTGCGGCTTTGCGACAGTCGTTGTACTTCGACCGGTACACGAAGCTCCTGGCTCCAGACCTGTCGCTCGGACATGACTTCAGAGCCTCTTAGAGCCTCTGAGAGTGCATTTGGATGACATGGTTGGGTGGGATTTACATGGCAGCAAGGAACATGATGTCCGATGAACGCATCGCGAACTTCGGACAGGACTGTCGCCTTGAGTTCGGGCTCGTGGGGCCCAAAGCCTAACATGAAGTCTGACACCCGAAACTCACTACGCCAGCCTCCACATCTGGAGGCAAGGACTGCGGCTTCTGTTTCAATCTCCAAGGGTTCGGAGTTCGGGGGTTATGAAGTTCTTGGCGTCGAGCTTCCAGGAGTTCATGCACCTCTTTTCTCCATCTCCCGTGCTCCTTCGCGAACTCCGACGCAAGCCTTTCCAAAACTAATTAAGCTGTGACTCCAAGGAGGTTTGTAATACTCAGACTTTTCTCCTGCAGCACCAGCCCATTGATGGCATTTATTTCTCGGAAATACTTTATGCGGACGACACTATAATATTCGGGGCAAATACACATTGTGTTAATGTTCTTCTTCATGCAATAGAAAAACATTCAGCCTACTATGGTCTCACTCTGAATTATGGAAAGTGTGTTAATCTCACTGCGAACCAAAAGCAATCTTCTGTCAGATTCTCCCCCTCAGGTCCGGCGCAAGGCAGGCTTGTACCGAGAAAAAGCTCTGCCACCTACCTCGGAACCCTAATAAGAGACACCTTCGATAATAGAGCTGAGGTTTCTAACAGAATCGGTGACTGCATAGCTACATGCAACCGCTTGAAGTTGTTCTGGAATAAAGCTAACAACAGTATAAAATGGAAAATCCAAGTATTCAATGCTATCGTCCGTTCTAAAATACTTTATGGGTTAGAATGTGTGCAGATAACGATTGCGGAGCTCTCTACACTAAATGCCTTCCAGAACAAATCGTTGAGAAGGGTCTTACACATCCCACCTACATTCATAGACAGAGAACAGACTAATGTCAGTATGTATGACAAAATACGAAACGAATACGGTTGTTCTTTTGAACACTTTGCGGACACATGGCGAAAAGCAAAGTTTCGGCTTTTTGGACACGTATTGCGAGCCAGCCAAGCAGACCCTCTAGTTCAAGTTACTTTCAAAACCGACGGATTGACACCTAGAGCTCCCACCAAAAGGCGGCCAGGCAGGCCCAAAGCAGACTGGACCACCGAAGCCTATAAAGATGCATATAGTATACTCCATGGAGATGCTAACGCTTTTGACGTCAATAATATACAACATCTAAATGAGATCAAACAATCAGCCAGAAATCGTCAAGGACCTTTTGCTGCATAACATGTTTGTGATACATCGGGACGCTGTCCCAAAGGCCATCGGCCTCTCGAGGTATTCCTCGCGGTAATGTCGTCATTGTTGCTTGGGAAGTGTGGTGCAAAGTTTTTCCATTTCTGTATACTTATTACAGCGCTAAATTTCTCGAAGATAATGTACCCTCAATGACTGCTGAACTTGTCTCACTGTTCTAGTGTACCTCTACTCGTGCTTTTGCATTCTCACAAGCCTGCTGGGAGCCCTTCTGCGCTCGACAGAAAAAGACTTTCCTCCTGCCTCGATTATGGAGACGTGCAACTCATGCTCATGGTCCCTGTAGAGTTGCTTCATACAGGACATGTACCATCGACCCTTCAAGTCAGGTGTTTAGCTTTCGCCACTTCATGTTTCGGGATCCTTGAGCTTGAAAAGCGTCGGTCTTGTCTTGTTTCAACTGAGGTTAGGATTCGTTAGGAAGGGCAGCCTACATGTAATTTGACAATGCATCAGAAGAGCCTACTGAAGCTTGTTGTATACATGATAGACCGACGGAGAGCAGCATCTCATGAGTGAGGAGTCCGAGACTGCAGCCGCAGCGGAAGCGTGAGAGCACTGTCTGGGATCCCCCATTGCCGGAAACTCTAGCCCTCAGCTCGACCGACTGACCCCATAGCCAGTAACCCGCCGATGGAAAGAATACCCATGCTTGGAACAATCGGAGCTATGCAGCCTGCAAGCTCAATAGTAGTGTAGCTGTCGCATGCTTTGGCCTGTACAGACCAGAGGCAGTTGCTGCCCCAGGCTGACTTGGGCACTCTTAGGCTTCACTGTCGCCTCCAATTTTCGGCCGCAAGCAGATTTTCGATGATACCGCGTCTTCAAACGAACTCGCACAGAATCGGCTGTTGCATTCCCGGTCCTTGCAATCTGTCTGTCAGAGGAAGCTTCGCTTCAACCTGCTTCGAATGCACCAGCTTTGCAAACGATGGCTTGCCCTGCAGTGAAAGAAAGAGTTGAGACTTCGTGTCATAATCGTCATCGGAGACCTGGTCTTCCTCCCGGGCACGAGTGTCGAGAGTCTAGATGTCACCCTCCCCCCATCCCCACTCCCAACAGACAAACAGCCTCGCGTTCGCAAAACTGACTGCTTGAGCCTGGCTGTCTGCACATGTGGAACGGCGGTGTATTGTGTATTTCGCTCGTGACATGACAAGTTGAACAGCTTCAGATGTTCCGGACAAGCATCTTGCGAGTTGCAAGGTGCTTGAAGTCGACCCCTCGCAGGTCTCCATCCTGGGTAGCGCCGATCGCCCAGTTTGTGGACGAACAATGCATTATCTTCGAGGATCAGGCCCGCGGCCCGCTGGTCTGGGCAGGCACTACAGTCACGGTCCAGCACGGATTGATAAGGTGTTCTAGGCTCTTGGCAGTTTTGGCCAGGCTTGCCAAGAAAAGACATCCATCTCCTGTGCTTGCCTCCGGCAGAGCCGCAGGAGGAGAACAAGCTGGAGTACACAGAGTGCCACAACGAGTTTCGTCAGCTCATAGGCCCGGACATGCTCCGACAGGGCTCAGGAGTCGGCGAGCAAAGAGCGAGCGCCAGACAGAGCACAGGCAGTAGAGAGTTCGATCAAACCGATGTCGAGATAACCTGCTGGCGGCGCACCTACTGGAGCTGGACGTGAGCAACGAGCAGCCGGGAGCTCAAGGGTATGGCTAGAGGATAGTAGAGGTCTTAATTAAGATGATGTTCATGGAGGTCGTTGGCCACTTTCTCGGCAAAGTCGAGAATGGACTAGCTTGAGGTACATTTTTCGATGTCCATGCACGACCCAGCCCCATGTGCGAATTTCGGTTCCTGCAACGACGCTGATTCTTCGTTTTCATTCCTGTCTGTCGTTCGCAAATTTCCAGGTTCGAGCAGTTCTGCCAGACCGGTCTTTCCACGAAGCCGCTCGGTAATCCAGAGGGACCTGCAGCACGAGCACCACGTGCTCGATGTCGCACGAAGCCAGTTCGAGACCTGTGTCACACAGACGGGTGGATACAAGATTGACGTGCTGTCCATGCACCCACGGAGGCGTGGGTTGTCACTCTGCAAAGAGAGAACCGAGTGTGAAGTAGAAATCCTATGTATTTTTAGTTACTTCGCACTGCATGTTGCACAGAGGTGTACACTACGAGCTAACGAAGTAGAAGAGACCTGCAATGTTACTGGACGATCCTGTTTCGTCACTATCTGAGTTCCACGCTGCACCGTGTCCTTGTGGAGCAGCTGTTGGCTGTGGACGACTTCCTTATCTTCAAGGCATGGCAGCATCACGCTCCATCATATATAGTCCATCAGCATTTTATAGATTGTGGGAATGTGGCAGCTGTTGTAGCTTATGCGAGCACCAGCCGAAAGCATCCTTGCACGGGCCATCCAGCTTGGGGGCGAGACTGTCGAGGATCTTGATCATTGTAGCGAGCTTTGGCTCAGGCGTAGTTTGAGCATTCCACAGACCTGGTTTTCGTGCAAATTGTGCGAGGCCATGATGACGAAGAGGAATGCTGACTTATACCGAGAGGTCCGATCCAGATCCGGAGTCTTCGGGGCTTAGCTGGGCCTCGAGAGAGGGAGGCCTCCGCTCTCCGAATCCTTCAGATGCTTAAACGTAAGAAAGCTAGCGGCAACCATAATGAAGTATCATAGCTATGGACTACACAGCCAGTCGCCGCAGCAGCTCCTGCGGTGCTGCTGCTGGTGTTGGTGTTGCAGCCAGTGCTTGCAAAGTGGACATGGCAGCAGGCCCAAAGACGCGTGGACGCTGGCCAGCTCGATGAGGACTTCAGGGCTGTCAGGGCTTGCAGTCTTGGGTGATAACTTTGGAGGCAGGTGAGTTCGCGCAAGAAGCGCTACTCGTTCCCTGCTGTCTGTTTCGTGTGCATTCTCTCCCTCTGTCCTTGCTTCCCTCGTGCTCTCCGTGTCTTGCCGGACTTCGGGGAACTAGCTGGCATAAATATCGAGGGTCGCGATGTAGGCCGGTTCTGACCTCCTTTTGCATTGCCAATCTTTTGCAAGTTGGTGATCGTGTCACTGCACAATCTCTCGCAGCATGGAGCACTGAAACACTGGGCTCCGTCATTTCCCATACTTGCAGCGACTGCCAGGAAGACTTCCATGAAACGACCGTCGTCGACGATGATGAGGACGCACGCCGGGATCGAGGGCAAAGATGCGACAAGTGTATCACCTTTCGAGTATCGAGGCTGACACTTGAAGGTCCATGTCGTGCAGGTGGATGTAGGCACCAGGTGTTAGAGGCAGCTTGTGTAGAGGAAGTGCTCGCGGGCCTGGGAGAAATGACGGTGGAGGCTTCCCTCGTCGCCGATGAGTGGAAGCTGTACGAGGACCCGTTGACGCCAGAGCTTTGACTTGGCCCCTAGGCGGTGGGCAGCTCCAACGAGGCTGCAAGGGCTTCCACGAGAGTTGTAAGACAAGCAGCCCGAAGTTCCTTCTCTGCCCATGAAGACAGAGCTGCAGGATCAACTCTTCCAGGTGCCTTCTCGTACTGGGCTTCTGGCTGACGGTAGCTCAGGGGTAGAACGTTTCGATTTGGGCGTTCGATGCGTTTGTCAGAATCGCCTGACTGATCGTTCGCTGAGCATCGTTCTGCGCACTAGCCATGCATCCGTGCCCTGCACACACTAGGCAGCCCCCCAGGACGCTGAGCCTCAGAGTTGAGTTTCTTTGCACGTCTTCAGCAGCAAATCATAATCCCGAATGCCAACAGCCCGAAAGCTGCACAAAGCTTCAAGCCCAACCCCCTGAAACCGGCCCTGTGTCCCATGATTCAGGCTCTCGATGAGTCTCAGAAGGCCGACGACGAGCTTGCCAGGCAGCGGCAAAAGGAGGAGGCCTCCGGCGAACATTCGGACGTTGGGGCTCAAAGTCCTCACAGCTTGAGCTTCAGAGTTCGAGCCTTTCGACTCCATAGTGACATACACGAGCACTCTGCAGTAGCTTCGAATTGACTCGACCTGGATCTTGTTATCATGTTTGCTATACTTAGATGCATTAATTCAACGCATTGGGGTCTCGATTCTTACGGTTTTACTCAGGCTATAAGAAGCAGGGCGTATGTTCGATGGTTTAAAGATTCCGTGAAATTCGCGGCTTAAGACGAATTTCGAACTGCCTGAACCCAAGCCCAAGCCTCGAAACCCCCAACAACCGCGAAACCGTCCTTTCCTCGGAGCCCTAAATCTTGTGAGGTTGGACCTGTCGAAACCCCAAGATCTTCTTGACATCGGCCTTTCGAAGCCCGTGCAGAACAGTAAGGGCAGTGATGACACTTCTCTCGGGTTGTAAACCATCCTTTCAATGAGAGGAAGAACTGGAGAGGGCCTTAGTCCTCTCGCTGCAGATGGAAGAGGCCGTGGCTTTGGAGCCTACAGCCGGTTCAGGGCTCTTGCGCAATGGAGCGAGATTCAAGCAAGAGCTGCTAGGGAAACAGGGATCACCTGTTCAAGATTCTGGCTTCGCGGGTCGGATAGGAGATGATTTGCCGAAGGAGGGCGACGGGAGCTGGTTTCCATAAGCTTCCTCCAAAGTCCAGGAGCATGAAAAGGCCAAGGTTAGGTAGTTCTTGCAAAAAAAATGTCGTACGTTATAGCAGAGGACTTGACAAAGGTGCGGCATCTTTCACTGTCTGGACTTCCCAAAGTGAACAGCTTGAGCCAAAGGCCCTGCAGTCCCCAATGACAGGAAAGGATGCATGGCCTGGCGGGCGAGGTTCGCTCCCTTTGCAGACGAGCATTGCGAAGATCTTAGGATTAGTTGAGGGTCTTGATCGAGCGCCGTTGCTGCAATACAGCTTACGAGTAGACTCAAAAGTCCAAACCGCAGTCGCACAAGCCCTGAAGCAGCCAAGGGTTTTTCCATAAGCAGACTGCACTGTGTGACGCCAGGTGACCCTAAACGTAAACGATCATACCGAATCTATTATAGACTCAGGAGCCAGCAACTTCAGTGTTGCCGTGCTGATAGGCGGAGCTCGTGGTGGTAACAGCAGCTTAGCAAACGGAAAGTGCCCCAAGATTCAGAAGGCCGCAGCCTCGCCGTCCTCTAGTTCGGCGGCGGGCCAGGAGAGGCAAATTTTCAAGAAGACTTTGTAACAGTGGTCGTTGTCGCAGTTTCTGTGACACGTAGTAGTGGTACTGGTCGTCGTCATCGCCGCAGTCGTCGTCGTAACGCTGGCAGTGGCAGTCGCAGTAGCAGTATCAGTAGGATGTGGAGGAGGAGCAGGAGTAGGAGAAGCAGTGGGAGCGGGAGCTAGAGTTGCTGCTGTTAGAGTGTTGTTGTTGTTGTTGTTGTTGATGATGCTGATTTTCGTCATGATGATGGCAAAAGTGATGGTGAATTGGGTAAACTTGGCGGGCAGCTACGAGTTGGTGTTCTTATTGTTGCTGATGTTGATGATGATGAGGATGAAGAGGAGGATGAGGATGATAATGAGAACGAGGATGGCGCCGTTGATTCTGGTATTGTTGATGTTGATATTTCTGTTGAGGATGATGATGATGGGCAGTGTTGGTCAGCAATGGTGCTGATGGCCCATCACCATGCGATGACGTGAGGTGAGGGGACGGGGCAGGGGATCAGGATGCTGCACCGCCGCCGCCTGCACCGCCGCCTCCGTCAGAGGCCATTGCCGCAGCTTGTAGGGGATCTATGCTATCGGCTACGATGGTCGAAAGTCGACGGGACCACCCATACTTGGTGTGGACTGAAGCCCGGAGGCTAAGGTTTTCTAGGTGACTCCAATTTTGCAAAGCTTGGAAGCGCGGTTTGGCAGTCCGCATGAAACGGATGCCCCATAAGCCGCCGATGACAGTGTCTCCAAGCTGCGTTCCTTTTCGTGATCCTACGCCCCCACCTTACTGTTCAACCCTAAAGAAAAAGCGCGAGGTACCGAAAATCAGTGAGGGAAATCTCCAAGGTCTTGTATCAAACTGTTTATGGTCTTGTATCAGTGTCAATATGTTCATAAGGTAAGTGTATGGTTCGGTTTCCCATGTTGTGCTGCACGTGCATTTTTGGAAGTGCTGCTGTGCTGACAGGCCAATGACCCCTACCGTCACCCCGCTGCGCTTTTGCCCCATTTCTCAACCTGTTACATATTGACAACAATCGTATGACTATGGTTTATGTAAGGAATGGAAAGCTGTTTGGTGAAATGGTGGATGCGACGACGACAGACATTCTGAGGCGAGACAAGCAAAGAGAAGAAAGGGCCACATAACATAAGTTTTTCCTCACGGTAGAAGCTGCACTTTAAGACGGCAGTGACATGCTTAAATTCTTAAACTTTTTTTTTGCTGGAAGTGCGGGGAGATTCAAGAAAGTCTCAAGATGTCGAATGCAAAAATACCACATTGGACATGAGTTATGTTGTATGTTGACGCATCATAGCTGGTGTCATGTTCGTGTTGATAGGCATAGACGAAATCGGGTTCTCTTATGCTGAAGATTTTGAATGTGTATCTGTGAAGATTAGAAGAATATTACAACAAAAGGTTTGAACATGCACCAAACCGATGAACTTGAAAACTGCTTATACTCATGGACGGAAATTGGAGAAATAAGCCATGGCATGCTTGGATATGTAAACATAAACAAAAAATAAAAGACTGCTGTTGGTCATCGAATATTTTGACTAACAGTTCGGCATAAAAGAGAAAAGATAGATGAGTGTTTTGGAGTGTAATAGAACGAAGATGGTTCTTTCTAATGAGTTGAATAAAATTCATGTGGCGGGCATTTCCGTCAGGGATATGAGCTTTGGGAGAATTGTCTCTTATGGGACCTTACCCCGCACCTCATAAGGATTTTGGTTGAAGAGCGGATCAGGTCAAGAACTGTTTAGGTGCTTTGTGTTTAGGGTGGTGTTTTGGGTCTTTGTGTTGGTTGTGGTGAGTTGCTTGACTTCGGGGTGTGTTATGGATTCTTGTATGGATTTTTGGGTGTGCTTTGTGTGTTACGGGGCTAAAACGGTTGATCTAGTAGGTGGGGTGGGGAATTGGATAAACGCGTAGGGGGTGTATTGAGTGGCCTGGGGTCAGCTCTTAGCCCCGTAACCAGGCCGCATCCGCCGCTCCGGCTGAGGGCGCTGCGGCGCCAGCCGCAGTGCCAGCGGCTGCAGCGCTCTCGGCGTCCTCGCTGGGCCCGCTCAGGCCCAATACTGTCTATTGAGGACCGTGGCCCGTGGCTCTGGTCTGGGCTATCGTGGGGAGAGGGTCTCCAAACGTGTCACAGAGCGGCAGTGGCCGTTCAAACCCCTCCACGCCTGAGCTGAACCGCAAACCCTAAAACCTAAGTCTCTGACGAAGGTCTCGAGAAGCCTTCCTAGATCACGTCTCGGAGGCCTGTGCTCCCGCGCGTGATGCGCGTGGGGCCCATGGCAGGGTCCCGACCTGGGGCGTGGGGACCTGGAGCCGGGAGTTGAGGGAAGTCGAGGGCACGAGGGTTTTTGCATGCCTTGAGACTTGGGCTTGCTTCAGTTAGAACCATGCTCGCCCAGTTTGGGCTATGGGCACCACTAGCCCCACACCATATCACATCCTCTATCCCAACCTAAGAATACAATCCTAGTAATATATGACAGCTTCTCAGAAGAACATAGCCTATACGAATATGAGGTGTCTAATGCAATCCCAAAGAGTTTAGGTAAAACAGATAGGTATGAAGTGGATGAGATTTTAATCTGCCGACTATACAAGAAAACGAGTAATGTCAAGTTCAATGGTAATTATAGGTTTAGGATCGTAAGCATATCAGTATATTGCGGACATAGCTACCTTAGATAAGCATTTCAGATATGACTACTGCACCACATGCCATTCCGCGCAAGGGGCTTCAATTGACGGTAAGATCGTTATACACGAGTGGGAGAAGTCGCATTTGGTAACTCGTGAGTGGCTGTGGTGTGCCTTGACCAGAAGCACCGATTTTTATGTTTTGTTCTATGAGAGTGCCGAAGCAGACAACGAACTGAACGAAACAACCTTACATAAATACAGGCTTAACAAATAAACGCCTACAAATTACAAGATCAGAAAGCGAAGAGAGAAATAAACGACAGCAAGTATGTTGATCCAAGTTGGTTTATGAAGCGACTGTATAGTCATTGTAACAACTGTGGTTGTAACATTGAATTTAAATTTAAGAGCGGCTTCTTAACAAGTAATATGACAGCCCAGAGGCCAGATAACAGCATCGCCCACGAAAGCGATAACTGCGAAGCTTGGTGTGTTGGGTGTAATTGCTCTGCGAGGTAAGATAAACATTAATGATTTAATGTTTAGCTTACGCTTGGTTCTTGATCTTAATGTTAAACTTATTTTCCATAAACTTAGTTGCTTCTGGTATGCTCTTATTTTCCCATAGTAGATAGCGTGGCCATGTTTGAGGCTTCTCTATATCTGTCCACGACTGCGTGGCACCGTGCCGTATGAATAAACATAGTGGTCATATCCCCTGCAGTTTGGGTTATTACATCTGATTTTATGCTCGCACCTCCGCTTAATTAAATTAGTTGTATGGCCCACATAACAATGACCTATGTTTAGATCATTACACACATTCTTATTCTAATATGTATTACTGTAATCTATGATCTTTCTTGGCATAATCCTATACTATCTTCTAAGAGCTTATCTGTTTAACTATATTCAATCTGTATCTGTTTAGAAAGTTCTGATAAAACATCTCGTTAATATTCTTCTTCATTAAATCCACATACAGAAAATAAAAATCTTCTGCTGTGGCAGTATGGTTTGTTTCAAGTAATGTTTTGGGATCTGTTAATGCCCCCAATTCCTCAATAATTGAATCCAGTTCTTTTTTGTTTCTTAAACGAAATATAAATAGTTGTGTTGCATTAACCCTAATCACAGGATGCAAAATAAACGCCTCTTGTGATGCTGTTATCACACTGATACCCGCATGTCTTCCGCGGAAAGCGACCGTAGTATTTCATTATGTCTTGCTATTTCAGGAGCATCAGCTATATCGCCTAGTATCAACAGAATGTTATAGAGTTTCTTTTCTTTGTGTTCTTTCAGATACTTAGTAACTTTTGTTTGAGTGTCAATTATCTTCATTAAGTCTTTGCTTTTGTATTCTTCAACAAACATTGCTCTTTGTCTTCATTCACTTCGAGTTCATCCTTAAAATATGTCTTGACAGGTAACCAAATACTATCGTGATTCACTGAAGGTGAGAACACATAGACTCTTTGAAATACATTTCGGTATATATCCAATATTAATGATACTAGCAGAACTGATTTTCCACTTCCCGAGGGGCCAAATATCAACGCACGACATGGCACTTTAGGCACATTAGCATATTTGGATTGTTTGAATTCATAGTTGATTTCATTGATAGGTTTGACTATTGGTATATCCATTGTTTAAGCAGAGAAAATTATATATGATTTAATATAATGAATAAGTATTTAGAAACAATAGAGGAGATTGAAGAGATTGAGAAGATTGTACTACAAGATACCGAGCTTAAAAAGTGTTGCACAGCTTCGCTAGAATTATTGAAGGCAGTTCTGGAGTATTTAAAAAATCTAGGAAGAATTAATAAGTGACAGCCAGAAAGAAACAAACGAAGGTGGCTTCCACTTAAACACGGATGGGTGAAACTGCTTACTTTGCAAAAGTAGAAAGACAACTTGTCACAAAGAAACTAAGATAAACAACGAAGGTAAAACAATCATTGAAGATAGGAGTTCTTGGAAGATTGGAAGCGGTAGATCAGTTACCCCCGGTGACAATGAAACATTCAGAAGCAACATACGAGATAATGAAGGTGTTGATACGGTTTCTACCGGGTGGGGATCAAGAAAGCCTACCCCAGAAGAGAGGCTAGAAAAAGTGGAAGAGGATGTTGAAAGGATAGACAAAGATGTAACTAAATTGAAGAATAATTTAAACATGATGGACTAGTATATAAATAAAGTTTCTGTGGTAACTTGACAGTGTATAGTTCCCCCTGCCCAGTCATCTAGAAGAAACTCAGGTCCCATTGCTACCGTGTGTGATGAACAGTTTCATAAGCACGCCATAAGAGCGTGGAAATGAAATGAATTAGTAATTAGTTTCGTTAAATCTTAAGCAATTTTCATAATGTGGTATTATGAAAAAGTGAATATAATAGTAATATAATGCCAGTGAGAGTAGAAAGATTTCAGTTAACTTTGATCCGTATAGCGAACCAGTTAATATTGTTACTAGGAAGTGTTATCGTTGTAAGCAAGTCAAAGACATTGACTGTTTCAAGCGTTGCTATTGTGCTGGTAAGCATTCCTATTATTATGTTAAATACACTGTGACTTGTTCTGAATGCTTGGATAATGGGCAGAGTATGCACTTAAAGGAGTGACACCTATGTATATTGAGTAATGGAAGGAAGGAAGTACTGTAGCAAATGTCAGAATATGCAGAAGATTGAGAGATTTGAAGAGAACTACAAGACTTGTAATGTATGTCGGGAAAATGCAAAGAGGTATCATCAAAGACACAAAGACCGACTTGATGAACAAAACAAGGAATACACAGCCAATCACCCTGAAAAAGTTACAGAATGGCGTCAGAACCGCTTGAACCGAATCAAACACGAGGTTGTCAACTGTCCTGTTTGTAATTACGAAATAAGGAAATACAAACAAGCCCAACACGAAAAGTCACAGAAGCATCAGTATTTCTTGCAGAAGCTAACCGATCCAGATTTTGAGAAGGATGTTCCCAAGCCAGACAAGATCAGAGAAATAAACGGCAAAGAACATTATTGTTGCACTACTTGCCGTTCTTGCTACTTACCTCAGATGAGGTCAAGACATTTTAACAAACCACCGCATGTGAAACCAACAACAGCATAGTTATAGTGTAATTATAATACATAAGCAGGTATATATTGTAATTACATTAGATTTACAAACCTTAGCCCTAAACCCTGAACCAACTTCTATAAGGAACCCCTCGCTCAGTTTGGACTATGGGCACTTGGATAGGGGTGTTGGAGTATTACTAGGATTGTATTCTTAGGTTGGGATAGAGGTTGTGATATGGTGTGGGCCTAGTGGTGCCCATAGCCCAAACTGGGCGAGCATGGTTCTGACTGTTTCTGGGTTCATGCATGGGATCGATTTGCTTGGGTTCATACGAGACGGATTAGGAGACTCCGGATGTCCTCTCGGATAGATGAAGCAGCACATGCAGCACGACCACTTGTGACATGTCGACAACCGGCCCTTCGCCCTTGCAGACCGCGGCTTCCGTGTCTCCCGAGCACGAGCGCGCGCGGGCGGAAATTGCAGCGACTCAGCTATTATTCCACATGGAGGGAGCTTGAGATAATCCATACTGTGTTATCAGCGAGGCTTTTTAAAGCCGTTTACCTGATTCTTTGGAGACCTCAACCTTCCTCCTGCCGTGCGTCGTTGCAAAGCCGCGACGGCAGGCACTGGCGCAGCAGGGGCCTGTAGAGGAGGCTTCCGTGCCTCCGCCTCCGCCGCCAGAGGCACAGCCTCAGCCAAGCGAGGCGCCTGTCTGCCTTTCGGCCAACGTACAAATGTGGAACGTGCAAGATTTCGAGATCTGGCATCACGAGAGTTGGCGCACATACGGTGAGCGGTGCTCGTAGCGCCACGTTGCTAGATTTGGAGGCAGATCGCAAAGCTCGTGCAGAACATCTGCAGAGGCAGTGGAACCCTGGCAAACCCAGGTTCTGAGGAAAGTCAATTGCGAATAGGTAACATGAAGACGTGCTGCATCAGCTAGCCGCATACGGAACGACCCTAGTCCTTATGGCAGAGGGGGCAGCAATCCATCCACTGGGATTCACTGGGATCCTTTTGTTTGAACGGGAGCCTAAGGGAACATGAGAGAGCGGTGGACATGTCACTCCTTGGGCAGGCAATATCATCAGCTCTCAAGCTTCTGAAGAGATTACTTGACTTTGTCTTGCTCGTGGTTCCACCGGACCTTTTTCTGTCTGTCCTTTAGCGAAGGGCGTTTTGGGCACTCACGTGTTGACGACGACTTGTGGGAGGCAGCGCCAGCTGCTAGTGGAGAAGCGTAACAAGGCTTGCCGAACCGCGTGCATGCCTCCAGCAAGGTTGTCGTCCATCTCGAAGCCAGCGACGTGACATGCTTCATCTGAGCTACCGGAAGCTTGCCGCGGCCATCACCTGTGCAGGAGCGGCAAAAGCAGCTTGACGCTGCGAAGGGCTGGCGGCTCAGCGCAGCATGCACAGATCAGGCGAGTGTGTTGAGGCAGCTTGGCTCATGTACAGGTCGGCGCCGGCTAGCAACTTTTCCCGATTGTAACATTGTAGCACTGTTGCTTGTCATTGGGTTACTAACTACCTTTGCAGACAGTTGCAGACGGGTGCTCGTCGGTCGCCTTCACAGCATCTCTCAGGTTTGCAGCAGTGTAACTCCACCTTCGTCCATGTCTTAATCACAAGAAATACCAGACTATGTGCACGGAGATTCGGAGCAGAGCTTTCCGGCAGGCTTTTCTGCGCTAGCAAAGGCCGTCGTCCGGTTGTCCTGTCCAGCCTGCTGCCCAAAACGGGCCTCCGCCAGCACTGCGCTGTAGACACCCCTGCCCACAAAACAGCCCACAAAAATCTGTCACTTGATCGACCCCGATCGAACTTGGTAGTTTAATACTCCTGCCCGTTCATATCCGTTCATTGCAACAGAGGTTCAGGCAATGCCCGTGTGGTGAAAGCTGTGGACGCCGTAGAGGGCTCAGAGGGCCAGGGTGACGGTCTTCATTCAGTAGAGCCAACAGAAAGGTGGACTTTGAAACGCCCCAGTCAGTCCTTGCAGAGTCCTAGAGTATTGAACAAGCCCTTAGGACACCTACCTTGCTGACTCAAGTGACTCAAGGGTTCTTCGAGGATTACTCAAGTGCGTATCGATCTTCGAGGATTCAGGTCTCATTGCCTAGAACGGACGATGAAGAAGTGGAAGAAGAAAGTGTTGTGATCATCATGATGATCACCCCAAGGCTCCGATGGTAGGAGTTTGCTACTGCAGATGCTGTAGGAGGCCTTTCCAAGAAGCGACCCCAAGATTGTACAAAAACCTAGAATCGCAACTAAATAACGGAGTACATCTGGTGCTGGTGTATGCGAGGCGAACGCCGGTGGCTCTGCGACAGGAAAGCGGCCCGCTCAGTGATGAGCCAGGTATGCCTAGCTAGGGCTACCCATACCTGGAGGATTATGGATGACATCAAGATTGTCGAGAGTCATCATTTCACGTCATGCTACCGGTTCGTACTTCGTGTTGGGCGAGGCAGACACGGTGACAGGTGCAGTGGTGGCCAGGGTCTTCGTGGAAGGTTCGACAACGTCAAGGTTAGGAGGCGGCCTTGATTGGAAAAGCAACTCCAGGTTCCGCGACCACCTGGCACGACCCCATGCGTAGGTCGAGTCTTAGATCTCTCGGACAACGAAGCACTGCTGGAACTCGCAAGATCTTCCAACGCGTCGTCCAAACCGAGGAACCTCGTCGCCGAGCTGACTGCACCCTCGGCTGGCGGAGAAGCCGTAGCAGAGACGGTCCCTTGTCCACACATGGACGGTCGGATGAGGGTCGCAAGGTCTTCAAGAAGAGAATGCCCGGTTGAGCCTCTGTACCAGATTTTGTCAGTTGACATGGACGAAATCAGATAATCACTCTTATTTGGATTTGGGGAGCGTTTTTCCCTAAGACGTGAGATCACTGCGGAGCACACGGCCCATCAGCACACAAAGTTAGCAAGCCAGGGACCTTGGCCGGGATGTTGCTCTCGGCTATCGACTGTCAAAGGACTCGCACCACATGTATTCTCAAATCACTGGTATCGTGTTCCCCTGATCTTATGGAACCGGACTCCTCATCCCAGGAGTTCGTTGCAAGCCCTCGGCGCAACACTCCAAATCTCCTGGACTCCCTGATCGGAAGCCCCAAAGACGTCCAGGCCAACGCTGCCGCGCAGATGCGCCAGGCTTTGGCTGCCCAGCTGAAGCAAACTCTGAGGACGGCTGCACGGCTCGCACGAGTTGAGGACGACGAGCACTACCACAGACACTGCCACCACAACCGGCACTGCCACTGTCACAGTAACTGCCGCTCCTGCTCCTCCTGCTAAAACTGCCACTACCAGGCGCTGCGACTATTGCTACCACTACTGGTACGACGACTACTACTCACTGACGAGTACTACGACGACGACTACTGCTAGACTACTACCACTACTACTCCTACTCCTGCTACTTACTAAGAGTGCTGCAACAACAACAACATCTACTATTACCACTGCTTCATCTACTATTATCACTGCTACTACTACTACTACACCTACTACTACTACTACTACCACTACTACTACTACTACCACTACTACTACTACTACTACTACTACTACTACTACTACTACTACTACTACTACTACTACTACTACTACTACTACTACTACTACTACTAGAGCAACCGACCGCAACCAGCAGCAGCAACAGCAACAACAACATCAACAACAACAACAGCTGGAACAATACTTGGAACGCGAACAATAGCAAGATCAACAAGAACACCAAGAAGACAACACACGTGTAAATCTTAACACAACCCTTTCTGACAGGACTCCAGTGTGATGGTGGCCTCCTAGATTGCAGCACTCACCTGCAGTGTTGGAAAACGGCGCCTCCTGGTTCGTGACTGCAGGCCATCCATTCAGCTGTAGATATCAAGCTGAGCATGACCCACAGCCTTGTGGAGTCCAGGAGGCCAGCATTCACGGTCGCAGTTTTTACGGGCAGCATGCTTTCAAGATTTTGCACTAGGAGTTGTAAAGCGATACTGTGGATCTCGGAGTGGAGCAAGGCACTTCCTTCGCTGACTTAGGCGAGAGACGCTCAACATGTCCCGAGCTTGGCTCAAGAAGAAGAATACGTTGCAGACCGCAGCAAACTACGAGTCGGAAGATGCATTGAATTATCCCTCCATCAGATACCTGCTGCCCGACAGACCCACAGCCTCACTGATCTTTTTCTTTGACAGGCGAAGTGGAGACCGTACTTACTCGCGGCATGCTGAAGTAGCTGTTGACTATGTAGTAGGAGAAACTCTGACGCGTTCGGGTCAAAGCTTCATGCAGCCATTATGTCCCGGCATCGTGTGCCGGCCTCAGATTTGACTCTTGCTGAACTGTCTGTGCAAAGCTGTTTGCAACTTCCGGTTTCGCCGGGCGAAGACTGGAATGTTGATTCTTCCGCCCGGGGCCTGTTATTAGGGCTCGGTCCTGAGGGCGACGGTAAGTGGTTTTGCGCATCCCAACAGTAAGTTCTGGGATGAAGTCCGCAGCAATGTTGAGCACAAGGGAGTGAGCACAAGGGAGTGAGCAGGGGGTTAGCTCTTTCCAGCTATTCGCGGATGCCCTGTCGCGCAGTGGCAGAGCTCTTCCAGCGATCGAATGATCGAAGTAGAACCGAGTGCGACAGGCACTGAGCTATGCTCTAGAGAAGATTCCGCCGCTGCTGTCAGCAGATTTCGGCTCCTGGTCCGCGGCATCTCTGGCGACACCGTGCTGGATAAGGAAGGCTGCGATCCAGAAGCACTGGTACAGGACATCATGCGTGAAATCGTGGTGAGCTTGGAGAGGCCGACAATTATCCAGCTCTGTTTGGGCTCCTCGGTGTTGAGGTCAGCTTCAAGGATCGGTGAGTACAGAACCGGCAATAGCTTGGAGCTCTTGTGCATCAAGCTCCAAGGCCAGGGTTTGAAGGCGGCACCGATGAATTCTGGCTTTGACTTTGACACACTCTGGGCATTGCTGGGGGATCCAGCCGTTGGCAAATCTTGCTTGCGGCTGCAGTTCACAGACACGTTGCAAGAACGGCCCTGCCCTAATATGGGGTTCCAGGAAACGTCTAGGATTGTCTGCGTCGGTGGTGCAACTGTCAGAATGCAGATCGTGGAAGTAGGTGGATACAGACAACCCCTTGAGCAACTGGGCGGCTACGATGGTGCCTTCCTGGTTTACGACGTCACGCAGCGCCACACTTTCGACCATGTAGGGACGAAGTTCTTTCCAGCCACTGCCACTGAGAGGATGAAGACACGGTGCCTCATTGGAAACAAAGCTGACAGGGATCGTGAAAGACAGGTTTCTTATGAAGATGGACAACAGCTGGCCAATGAGCTGGGACTCCTCTTTATGGAGACATCCTTAAGCGCAGTCGCCATGGTCGACGAGGCTTTCTTCAGTGCTTGCGAGGCAGCTTGCGTTTGCTAGCATTCGGTGGCCGGGAACCTGACCTGATCATCCTTCGGCCTGGTGCCCCCTCTACAAACCCGAGTATGCTCCAGAGATCTTGCAGGAGATGGAGGGACAGCACAGCAAATTCTCTGTGGTGGTGGGGCATGGTTTTTCGACTTTCATATTTCGGCTGCGAGCTGCGCGTTCAAAAGAATCCCAAGTGCACGAGACCTTTGCAGGCAATATGTAACCAGGCTTGAGTGCGATAGAAAACGGTGGAAGACATCCTTTGCAGTCGAGTCAACGCCGGTTTTGGCATTTAACGGATACCCCCTTTGAAGCGTTTGGCAGCGCAGGGTAGGGTGACTGAGGTCACGAACATCACGCCAGATCGAGATGCTCCTCCCTTTCTGCTCTTTCTGCTAAGTGTGATAGTCTCTCGCACAAACGGAATTCGGGAGAAAAGGAGTTCTCGGAGGCCCTATCTTTAGGAATCCGCAAACCATGACCTCTGGCCATTGTACATGTTGCACAAGCCTCATGCCATTGCGATCCCCTGCAATTCAGGGGTCGTGAGTTCAATTTAGCTACAGGGGACATTTTGTTTGTTGACAACTTGTCAAAGCACCAAGTTATCCTCAACCATTTGGGATGACGGTTTGGAGCTGCAAGCTGTGATTGTGCAGGCCAGTCGCGAAGACAGGTGCGAGGGGCAGTGCTCCATGCTGTCAGCTAGTCTTTGCATGACTGAATAGGGTTGCTGCTGTGATCAATGACGCACTGCATACGGAAGCTGCACGAGCGGTTGTTCTCTTCACTGAGCAATGCCTTATGGGGTTGCTGTCTTGTGGACGTGTTGATGTCTCCTCTACGGGGCTTGACACTCTCACTTGAGCTTGCTCTCACTTCTCGCGGCCAGCGTCCGTTGGCCTGTGTAGGTGCGCCGCCACCTGCGCCAAGCCAGGACATCATCAGCTTCCTAGAGCAGGCAATTTGGGCGGTCGCTGACAGCACCAAGCTGAACCCGCGTGCGACCTGCAGGCTGTCCAAGCCGGTGCAGCGCCACCGCAGGTGCGAATCTCTATCAAGCTGGCTTCCCTTGCTCCAGCCCGAGGTTGATAAGGGCATCAGGAAAGGAGTAGATTGTCGATTTCGGTTCAGCAGACGAGGATGTTCGGCTGAGCTAGAGTCATAATCCCCATAGTAGTCACCCTTCGCATGTGGTCACAGGTCGCCGTGTTTTGCTCATGGCAGCGGATGTTATTGTCGTTGTTGTTGTTGGTGGGTGGTGTCGTGGTGGTGGGGGTAGGCTGGGGCCGGGCTGGGGTGGTGGGCTGTGGTGGTGGTGGTGGTGGTGGTGGTGGTGGTGGTGTTTTCGTTGGTGGTTTTGGTGGTTTCCGTGGTTTTCGTGGTTTCGGTGGCGGCGGTAGTGGTGGTGGTGGTGGTGGTGGTGGTGGTGGTGGTGGTGGTGGTGGTGGTGGTGGTGGTGTTTTTGTTGGTGGTTTTGGTGCCTTCGTGGTTTCCGGGGTTTTCGTGGTTTCGGTGGTTGTGGTGTGTTTGGTTGTGGTTGTGGCGGCTTCGGCGGCGCAGGTTGTGACGGTCTTTGTAGTTGTGGTGATGATGGCGGTCGCGGTTGTGATGGTATGATGGCTGTCGTGGTGGCGATTACGTTACTGATCTGACAGTGATGTTCCTGGCCGCAGTGGTTGGTTGCGGGTTACCGGCTGCGGCTGCGGCTGCGGCAGTTACGGTGGCAGTGATTGTTGCGGTAGGTTATAGCAGGGACCGTTTTCCGTGCTTCCCATTTGCCAGGCGCCGCCGACCTCCAAGGCTGTACTCTTTTTGGGATCTCTGCTTCTTCGAAGCGGCTGAATTGCGGGCTCCTGCAGTTCGAGTCCTTCAGATGTTTCAGGTCTTGCAGTGATATCGAGGGTCGGGCTCAACAGATCCGTCGCGACCTGCAGTGCTCTTTTCCCCAAGTTCGTCGGCTTGCTGCTTGCATAGAGGGGCAGGGGCTCGATTTATTACCAGACGCATGATTAATGGCTGCAGGTGACACGCTATTGGCTCCATGTCGAGATTCTCTGCCTGGTTGCCAGAAGTTGAACCCCATCTGTAAGCCTTCGCTCCGTAGAGCGTGCTTGTGTTGAGGCTCCTGTGGGAATGCGCCCAGAGAATCAAATCAAAGCCACCTAATAAGGCTTGACATGATCAAATCACCCCAAAACCTTATGCTCAACCACCTCCCCGTGTCACCAGGCTCCACCGCCCCGCGGCGAAGCCTCAGCGGCACCCTGGCGTCCGGCCCCATGGGAGTTGAGTTTCGGAACCAGCGCTTTTCGGTGGAATTTGAAAGACTGTAGTCACTCAGAATTAAATCCAATCCAATCATACAATCATCACCACCACCATCATCATCGTCACTGTCGTTATCAACAGCGGTGAGTGGGCATGGGCTTGTTTAGGAGCAGTGGAAACCGGGGAAACTTTTTAGCTGGAGCCTTCTTCGTGGAACCTTATCTGATGATCCTGCCGTGACGTCTAGGCCTTGCAGCGCGAGAGTTCTCTCAGAATCATGCCACTGTAAAGACCATGGTTGTGACACTGTAATGGACCAGTAATGGAGCTGCGTGCATCTGGCGTAAGGCACAAGGGGAATGCGCAGCTTCCCTCTGCACTGATTGGTTCTAGCAGAGGAAGATGCAAGCCCAGTCCCTGTAACAACCAGCAGAACAACAGATCTAGCATCTTTTTACCAACAACAAGTAAAATCACGCCGGGTTGTAAACGGGTGGACGGTGGCAAGAATCGGGAAATAACTCGGCCCGCACTACTGGAATTGAGAAGCTGTCCTGGAATGTCCTGGATCCCAAGGTCTTGAAAAGGGTCTCTTGGTTCTAAGCCTCTGTGCCTATTGTGCTAATTGAGATAATCATTAGTAGATAGCAAGCAGTCGTAACGAATTTAGTTTTTGAAGAGATTGCTGTAGCAATCACACTATGGCTTTTAACTTTTCAATCATCATTGGAATCAACAACCTCAGGGGTTAGCGCGCCGTGGAACAAGCCGCCGGCCAAAGAGACGGGTGCCTCGGCCGCGGTCTTCTACGGGAATGCATTGCTTTGTTCGACTGCTGTATCTTCTCCCTCTCCCTCTCTCAGGCCGAAGTCCCAACACAGCAACTATTCATCGATGTTCCATTTTTGCAGGCGCCACCAAGCCAACGACGTTTTGCAAGGCCAGCCTGTTTCGCTACGCACGTCAGGCGTCGAGACGCTCAGTTCTGTTGTGACTCGCACCTTGTGCCGGTTCTTGGGATCTTGGGTGTTTGCCGCTGAAGCCTTTTTCGTTTCAACCTCTATGACTTCGATGCAGGCATCCCCGAAGGGGCCGGCCAATGGTGCCACGACTGAGGACTTGGGGACCGCGGGAGAATCTTCCGTGCTGGCCGGATTGCCCGACAGATTCCGTTTGGTTTTGCCCACAGAACCGGTGGTGTTACAGGCACAACTTCGGAGCAAGCAGCAAGCACGTGGCACAGGTTTGTTTCTGTTGGTGCGTCGCAAGGTGAGGAACTACTCGAAGTTTCCGCATGGAGCGTGGAAGTAGACTTGCATCGAGTGACCCAAGTCTCGATATTCGGGCACCTGCCTGAGAACGGAGGATCTTGCGCAGGCGTTGTCAAACCACTTGCTGTCACCTTAGCGTTCTCGGCCAGCGGACCGACCGACACTAGTACTATACTGCGAACAGGCTGGTAGCGACTTGAGGTATCTTGAGGTTTCGTCTTTGCATGCCTTTCTGGCCTCATGCAAAGTGCGCCCCATGCAGCGTTCTCAGGCAGAACCCCTCCGGGACTCCCAGCGTAGAGCTGATGCAGGCCGGCACTTACGGGGTCTGGGGCGATCGGCTGGTGCTTGTGTGTGTGCTCCTTTTCGCTTAGCCTCAGGCTTCGTTGAGGGCCCACTGCACGATTTCGTTTGTTATTCTCTAATGCCTCTAAAGGTCACCATAAGGAAGGGCTCACAGGAGTTCATTTCCTTGCATCGATGCGCCAGATCCTCCCGAACCACAGGTGCATTACATGCAATATCCCCAAAACCCCCAGAATACATTAAAGCTGATCGGAGACTGGTGGCCAGGCTCTCGCGAGAGCTGCGAACATCGAAGGGAAGGCGAACTGCAAATCAATTTGCTGACGTTTGTCGGCAGAGATCACATGTGCATTTAGACAGTCCCGGCCGGGAATGAGGTTGCAATGAACTCATAGGGGAATGAGGCCTGTAGGTTTCATGAGGCAGACGCTACCGCGGGCCTACCTTGGCAGATTTTGGACGATGCTGTGTCTTGCTTGATTCCAGGGTGCGGCAGCGAAGGCGGAGGGCAAGGGCGAGCCGGGCCAAAACGAAGCCCAAGGCATAGTCCATGGTAGCCCAGTTTCAGCAGGGTTCAAAGGCAGTCAGGACAACTTCGTGTGCGGATCTGGCAAATAGTGCGACGTTCCGACTTCGTTGTCTATGCCACTATGCGCAGTGTAGACACGCATACACGAAGAACCGAACACGCACATCAACGAACAGATCCGGGGCGAAACCTTCGCAGTCAGCCTCGGACCAAGGCAGAGAAGTTGGGCCACGGAAGCGAGGCTAGGCTGCGAAAGGGGCCTCCCAAGGCGATACCGGCGTTCCAAAGCATCGGCCTGCGCAAGCTCGGCGGTGGCGAAGAAGCCGTGCGCTGCCGCTGCAGCACCTCAGTCAACACCTACAACACAAGGGCTAATAGGCGTTGCAAAGACTCGCCAAGAAACAAGCAAGAACAAAGTGCACGATGTGCACGAAACAATGCCAAAATGGTTTAAACGTAGATAGCCGAACGTACGCCGAATGTGCAGGCGACGGGTATTGAGTATAGTTTTTATGAGGTGTTCAAGCTTCGGTGCTTGTGGCATCGCGGGTTGCGAGGTGACACTTTACATCGCGCGCAGGTAGTGCTGAGCAGGGCGAAGACAGCCCTGCAGGCATCCAGGAGCTCCAGAA